TCCCAAATGTCACAATTCCTTTTTATGAAGTAGGTTGAAAATGAGGGCTAAAACTTATTAAACATGTCATAAATGCAACATTATGGTCCTCATTTTCAAGTGAGAAACAGCACAGAAAGTTTTTGTGATTGACCCATGATCAGAAAACTAAATACTAGTAAACTGGTTCCAGCAATTCCTTGAACAACACGGATGTAAACTGTGTGTACCCACATAAATACATATTCATTAAAGACATTAATGACATTTGGGAAAAATTCCTTGATAGAACTGATACCACAGAAATATCAAAATAAGAGAAAATTAGGTATGTCTTGAGTGCCAAAAATATATTTGGATAATAGCTCATTTTGTAATTACGATCATTAAATACAATTCCACTAACAAAAGTTAAGATTTGCCAAACATAAGTTGGTCATGATTGTGCAGACCTATAATCTTGGTGCTTGACTGGTGTATTACTCACTTTTCTGTTGCTGTGATAAAAACACTGACCAAAGCAATTATAGAAGAGTTTATTTGAGTTTATGGTTCCAGGGGAATTACAGTCTGTCATGGCAGGGAGGCATGGTGGCTGGAGGTGGCTGGAGCAGGAGCAGCAGAAGCTAAGCTCTCACATCATCTCGCAGGCACAGGAAGCAAGAGAGAAACTGGAGATCTAGCAAGGCTTGAGAACTCTCTAAGCCCACACCCAGTGACGTGCTTCCTCCAGGATAGCCACACCTTCTAAAACCTCCCAAAAAAGCGCCATCATCTGGGGACAAAATGTCCAAATACTTGGTGCCTATGGGGGGCATTTTCATTCAAACCACCACAACTGGTAAAAGCAGGAGGACCAGGAGTTCAAGGTCTTATTAGGCTACATTTTAAACTGAAAGCCAGCTTGGTCCACATGAGACACTGTGTCTGAAAATTTTTTTTAAAAAAAGACTTTTCAAAACCTTTGCATATACTTACAGACCAGATATGATGCCATTCCCAGCCAAAAAATGTAAGCAATCCTAAAAATGCTGTATTAAGTTGTAATTGCATGCAGTGACCTGTAGTGCACTGTACTAGCGTAACTGCTTCCTAGCCATGCCCTGCAACAGTGGTGCTGAGATCAAGGTCTGTGGGTATCCACTTAAAATACAGTATGACTCTAGTCATTCCTGTGTGAGTAGTTCATCTCTCCAATACAATGCAAATCATACTAATAAAAGATATCATGTGGGTTTTGTATCTAATACCTTTTATCATATGTATAATACAAAAATATGTGCTAAGTGGCTGGTTCTGCTATCAAGAACATTTATGGTCAATGACAGGCAATTAGAAGTCATGTTTTAGAGATATAAATAATACATGGATTTTTTTTACTGTGAAGGGTTCAGAAATCCAAACCTCCATATTGTTCAAGGGTAAATTATACTCAGAAATCGACATGCAAAATATATTTGAAAACAAGAAAAGACTTTTTACACAATGCAAGCAAATCCCTAGAATCTATTCACTACAGATTATATTCATTCTGTTACCTATATTTGTTTTATGTTTTAACAATTTCCATAAATGAAAAAATACTTCATATTTCTCCTGAATTATAACAGCAAACATGGCAAAGTATTTCAAATACTTTATTAAGAAACATCGTCGTGTGTATATGTGCCATAAAAGCAGAACTGAGGCTATTTGGGGGTAAAACAGAGATCAGCAAGAGGCAAGGAGGAAGGGAGATAATAAGGGAGAATAAGAGCAAAGTATGAAGATAGATATGCATGAAAACATAATGAAGTCCATGACTAGGTAAAATTAATTTTCAAGGAAGAAACAAAAGTTTCATATACCAAGTTCCAGGCCAACTGGAGCCACAGGAAGACCCCATCTCGAAAATCAAAAGTATAAGAACACAGCAGATTTTATGGCATGTCACAACCATATGGTGGAATCTACCAGAAACATATAAGTTGCCAGTGTTCAATAAACAAATCTAGAATTAAAATAATTTTTTGAACAGCCACTAACTACACTAGAACATTATAAACTCACCTTAATTCTTTGCATTTGACTAGAAACATTATGTAAAAACTACTTTAAACAGGGCAGAGGAGCAAATAAAATGCTTAGTTCTAGACCTAAGTCATGTAGCATCCATACATAATATTAGCAATAACAACAATGTCATGTACTATATTAACAGCCATAGAAATTTGAAATCTTAAAGACTATTGAATTCAACATATTTGTCTAAAGATGAAGAAAATGAGTCTCTGAAAGGTCAAGATCACAGAAAGAACTGGGACTAGAGCCAAATATACTTGGCTGCATATTGTATGCATTTCATCTGTTATTGTAGCAATAATACAAAATAAACATCTGAGTCACTGAAGAGGTTCTCAGTAAGGAAGTAACAAAGACAAATACTATACAGGTAAAGAAACTGTGAATATTCAGCCTAGTGACATAGGGAGGGTTGGGTCTGCCTTAGACTTTTATGGGAAGTGGAAAAGTTATCTGTGGGATGATTAACGGTGAAATATTGCTTAGAAATCAAGGAAAGTCTCAGTCAACAGTACAGAGAGTGTTTGGATCTATGACTAGGTTATTTGAAAATAACAAACCATTTTAATCTTGGACTGTTATTTATGAGGCAATGAACAGGGGATGGGAGGCTCTATGTATGGCCATTCAGCAGTTAGGCAATAGGGCAAAGGCCCATGCTTGGCATAGTCCCAGGTGAACAAGAGACTCATAGGCAAACCTTAGGAGAATGAATTGACAGTGATCTTTACCTCAGATATCATATAAGGAAGGATGTTCTGTATTTGTTTGTTTAGGGTGTGTGTGTGTGTGTGTGTGTGTGTGTGTGTGTGTGTGTGTCCAAACATAATAAGCAGTTTCCCCAAACATAATAGGATGGGGGAGATTTCTTGATCAATATTGTGCTCCAACAACATAGGGCTCAAGGAAAATCCAACATTTTCAATAGCCTCTGACTGAAGATGAAATTTATTAAGAAATTGAACACTGGATTCCTCCATGCTAGATACCAAAATCGAACAGCAGGAACAAAGAAAAGTGGTGAAGAAAAAGAACTGAGCAACATTAAAGGCACCTTTTAGCAGTTTTTAGAGTTTTGCAAAAGGCTGGCCTTGGTGGAAAAAGTGACATTTCTTTGAAATTCATCCTATAAGATCTATCTTTGCAATACTGAAGGGAAAAATGACACTTTCTAGTCAGTTTCTGCTGAATATATGACCACGTAAACAACGCTCAGTTGATTAATATGACACAGTTTATATTTTGTCCTGAAGATGCTTTAGCCAAGACTAGATAACAGCTGTAGTGCCTCTTCTCTGGGCTCCAGTTTCTCATTTGAGCAAATGGGAAGTTTGCTTTCAGCCTCTTCCAGAGCTCAGGAGAGAAATCTTTATGCAAATTAAATCTTACACAGAAATTACTAATTTAAATATAAAACATAAAACCACAGTTCTGAACATAAAATGAGAGAATGGAGTACATTCGTGCCAAGTCCCTTTCTCCCTTCCTCTTTCTTTTAGCAGCT